CTAGAAGAGTTACAGCCTAAAGGATGAAAATCTGTGATCACTTTTATTTAACACAGAATAGCTACAGCCTAAAGAATGAAAATCTGTGATCACTTTTATTTCCCACCAGAAAGTCCATTTTTGAGTGCAAACATAAAAGTCCATTTTCTGGCTAAACTAGAAGAGCTACGGCCTAAAGGATGAAAATCTGTGATCACTTTTATTTAACATCAAAACTCGATTTTTGAATGAAAACATAAAAGTCCATTTTCTGGCTAAACTAGAAGAGCTACAGCCTAAAGGATGAAAATCTGTGATCACTTTTATTTCCCACCAAAAGTCCATTTTTGAGTGCAAACATAAAAGTCCATTTTCTGGCTACACTAGAAGAGCTACAGCCTAAAGGATGAAAATTTGTGATCACTTTTATTTAACACCAAAACTAGATATTTGAATGAAAACATCAAAGTCCATTTTCTGGCTAAACTAGAAGAGCTACGGCCTAAAGAATGAAAATCTGTGATCACTTTTATTTCCCACCCAAAAGTCCATTTTTGAGTGAAAACATAAAAGTCCATTTTCTGGCTAAACTAGAAGAGCTCCAGCCTAAAGGATGAAAATCTGTGATCACTTTTATTTCTCACCAGAAAGTCCATTTTTTAGTGAAAACATAAAAATCCATTTTCTGGCTAAACTAGAAGAGCTACGGCTTAAAGGATGAAAATCTGTGATCACTTTTATTTCCCACCAAAAGTCCATTTTTGAGTGCAAACATAAAAGTCCATTTTCTGGCTACACTAGAAGAGCTACGGCCTAAAGGATGAAAATCTGTGATCACTTTTATTTCCCACCAAAAAGTTCATTTTTGAATGAAAACATAAAAGTCCATTTTCTGGCTAAACTAGAAGAGCTACGGCCTAAAGGATGAAAATCTGTGATCACTTTTATTTCCCACCAAAAAGTCCATTTTTGAGTGAAAACATAAAAGTCCATTTTCTGGCTAAACTAGAAGAGCTACAGCCTAAAGGATGAAAATCTGTGATCACTTTTATTTCCCACCATTTTCTGGCTAAACTAGAAGAGCTACGGCCTAAAGGATGAAAATCTGTGATCACTTTTATTTCCCACCCAAAAGTCCATTTTTGAGTGCAAACATAAAAGTCCATTTTCTGGCTAAACTTGAAGAGCTATAGCCCAAAGGATAAAAATCTGTGATGACTCATCAAAACTCGATTTTTGAGTGAAAACACAAAAGTCCATTTTCTGGCTAAACTAGAAGAGCTACGGCCTAAAGGATGAAAATCTGTGATCACTTTTATTTTCCACCAAAAGTCAATTTTTGAGTGAAAACATAAAAGTCCATTTTCTGGCTAAACTAGAAGAGCTACGGCCGAAAGGATGAAAATCTGTGATCACTTTTGTTTCCCACAAAATCTCGATTTTTTAGTGAAAACATAAAAGTCCATCTTCTGGCTAAACTAGAAGAGCTACGGCCTAAAGGATGAAAATCTGTGATCACTTTTGTTTCCCATCAAAACTAGATTTTTGAGTGAAAACATAAAAGTGCATTTTTTGGCTAAACTAGAAGATCTACGGCCTAAAGGATGAAAATCTGTGATCACTTTTATTTCCCATCAAAACTCGATTTTTTAGTGAAAACATAAAAGTCCATCTTCTGGCTAAACTAGAAGAGCTACGGCCGAAAGGATGAAAATCTGTGATCACTTTTGTTTCCCATTAAAACTAGATTTTTGAGTGAAAACATAAAAGTGCATTTTTTGGCTAAACTAGAAGAGCTACGACCTAAAGGATGAAAATCTGTTCACTTTTATTTCCCATCAAAACTCGATTTTTGAGTGAAAACACAAAAGTCCATTTTCTGGCTAAACTAGAAGAGCTACGGCCTAAAGGATGAAAATATGTGATCACTTTTATTTTTCACCAAAAGTCAATTTTTGAGTGAAAACATAAAAGTCCATTTTCTGGCTAAACTAGTAGAGCTACGGCCGAAAGGATGAAAATCTGTGATCACTTTTATTTCCCACCAAAACTCGATTTTTGAGTGAAAACTACGGCTTAAAGGATGAAAATCTGTGATCACTTTTATTTTCCACCAAAACTCGATTCTTGAGTGAAAACATAAAGTCCATTTTCTGGCTAAACTATAAGAGATACGGCCTAAAGGATGAAAATCTGTGATCACTTTTATTTCCCACCAAAACTCGATTTTTGAGTGAAAACATAAAGTCCATTTTCTGGCTAAACTATAAGGGCTACAGCCTAAAGGATGAAAATCTGTGATCACTTTTATTTCCCACCAAAACTCGATTTTTGAGTGAAAACATAAAAGTCCATTTTCTGGCTAAACTACAAGAGCTACGGCTTAAAGGATGAAAATCTGTGATCACTTTTATTTTCCACCAAAACTCGATTCTTGAGTGAAAACATAAAGTCCATTTTCTGGCTAAACTATAAGAGATACGGCCTAAAGGATGAAAATCTGTGATCACTTTTATTTCCCACCAAAACTCGATTTTTGAGTGAAAACATAAAGTCCATTTTCTGGCTAAACTATAAGGGCTACAGCCTAAAGGATGAAAATCTGTGATCACTTTTATTTCCCACCAAAGCTCGATTTTTGAGTGAAAACATAAAAGTCCATTTTCTGGCTAAACTACAAGAGCTACGGCTTAAAGGATGAAAATCTGTGATCAATTTTATTTCCCACCAAAACTTGATTTTTGAGTGAAAACATAAAAGTCCATTTTCCGGCTAAACTAGAAGAGCTACGGCCTAAAGGATGAAAATCTGTGATCACTTTTATTTCCCATCAAAACTCGATTTTTGAGTGAAAACATAAAAGTCCATTTTCTAGCTAAACTAGAAGAGCTACGGCCTAAAGGATGAAAATATGTGATCACTTTTATTTCCCACCAAAACTCGATTTTTGAGTGAAAACATAAAGTCCATAAACTATAAGAGATACGGCCTAAAGGATGAAAATCTGTGATCACTTTTATTTCCCACAAAATCTCGATTTTTTAGTGAAAACATAAAAGTATATTTTCTGGCTAAACAAGAAGAGTTACAGCCTAAAGTATGAAAATCCCTGATCACTTTTATTTCCCACCAAAACTCGATTTTTGAGTGAAAACATAAAAGTCCATTTTCTGGCTAAACTAGAAGAGCTACGGCCTAAAGGATAAAAATCTGTGATCACATTTATTTCCCACCAAAAGTTGATTTTTGAGTGAAAACATAAAAGTTCATTTTATGGCTATACTAGAAGAGCTACGGCTTAAAAGATGAAAATCTGTGATCACTTTTATTTCCCACCCAAAAGTCCATTTTTGAGTGCAAACATAAAAGTCCATTTTCTGGCTAAACTATTTTTTTTTTTTCACTTTTATTTCCCACCAAAATTCAATTTTTGAGTGAAAACATAAAAGTGCATTTTCTGGCTAAACTAGAAGAGCTACGGCCTAAAGGATGAAAATCTGTGATCACTTTTATTTCCCACCAAAAAGTCCATTTTTGAGTGCAAACATAAAAGTCCATTTTCTGGCTAAACTAGAAGAGCTACGGCCTAAAGGATGAAAATCTGTGATCACTTTTATTTCCCACCAAAACTCGATTTTTGAGTGAAAACATAAAAGTCCATTTTCTGGCTAAACTATAAGAACTACGGCCTAAAGGATGAAAATCTGTGATCACTTTTATATCCAGCCAAAAGTCAATTTTTGAGTCGGAGCACAAAAGTGCATTTTCTGTCTGTCTGTCTGTCTGTCTGTCGGTCTATCTATCTGTCTGTCTATCTGTCTGTCTATCTGTCTGTCTATCTGTTTGTCTATCTGTTTGTATATCTATCTGTCTGTCTATCTGTCTTTCTATCTGTTTGTATATCTGTCTGTCTATCTGTCTATCTGTCTGTCTATATGTCTGTCTGTCTGTCTATCTGTCTGTCTGTCTGTCTGTCTGTCTGTCTGTCTGTCTGTCTGTCTGTCTGTCTGTCTATCTGTCTGTCTGTCTGTCTGTCTGTCTGTCTGTCTGTCTGTCTGTCTGTCTATCTGTCTGTCTGTCTGTCTGTCTGTCTGTCTGTCTGTCTGTCTGTCTGTCTGTCTGTCTGTCTGTCTGTCTGTCTGTCTGTCTGTCTGTCTGTCTGTCTGTCTATCTGTCTATCTGTCTATCTGTCTGTCTATCTGCCTGTCTGTCAATCTGTCTGTCTATCTATCTATCTCTCTGTCTGTCTGTCTGTCTGTCTGTCTGTCTTTCTTTCTTTCTATCTATCTATCTATCTATCTATCTATCTATCTATCTATCTATCTATCTATCTATCTATCTATCTATCTATCTATCTATCTATCTATCTATCTATCTATCTATCTATCTATCTATCTATCTATCTATCTATCTATCTATCTATCTATCTATCTATCTATCTATCTATCTATCTATCTATCTATCTATCTATCTATCTATCTATCTATCTATCTATCTATCTATCTATCTATCTATCTATCTATCTATCTATCTATCTATCTATCTATCTATCTATCTATCTATCTATCTATCTATCTATCTATCTATCTATCTATCTATCTATCTATCTATCTATCTATCTATCTATCTATCTATCTATCTATCTATCTATCTATCTATCTATCTATCTATCTATCTATCTATCTATCTATCTATCTATCTATCTATCTATCTATCTATCTATCTCTATCTATCTATCTATCTATCTATCTATCTATCTATCTATCTATCTGTCTGTCTGTCTGTCTGTCTGTCTGTCTGTCTGTCTATCTGTCTGTCTGTCTGTCTATCAGTCTATCTGTCCGAATTTCCTGTTGGTATCTTTATTTGGAAGCAATGTTCACAGTGTGATTTGTGGAAAAATTAAACTTCAATGCACTAAATTGTATAGCTCTGCGAAATATAGTTATTTAAAAAACATTGATTGTGTTTAGTTTATTATTAATAGAATTTTTTTAAATGATAACAATTCAAGTTGGCAATTCTTAAGAACATTATTTGTTTAAATAAAATTTAAAACATATTTTAAGGCGATGTCAAAATATTGTGATCATAACAGTGATCTAAAGTTATTCTAATAATTTTTTATTTAAAATGTATTTTACCAGCTAACAGTATATTAAATTTCTGTCTGTCTGTCCGTTTGTCGGCATGCCTGTGCTTATGTTTGTTGAATGTTTGTTTTACTTAGTTTGTGTTGTTTTTAAAAAACTAAGTAGAGCAAGAACACACGTAACAAATAAAGTTAGCGGTAGTCAGGGATGTAAAATTTTATATGAGCCTTATCGTCGATTATTACTTTTTACAAATTTCGAAAATTGGAAGCTGTATGAAGCTTCCATTCGGCTTAATTAACAATCCATTAACAGATTATAATAGATATTGATTAGATCGGATTAAAAATAATAGGTACATATTTGTTTTATATTACTCTTATAAATCGTTTTCTATATACATCACATTTTATTTCTAAATTAACAATTTAAATTCTAAAACTAATACCTATGAGTAAAATTATTTAAAATTAGTTTCTTTGGTCTCAAAGGCCTTATTATCAACTCCAACTTCGGCAGTTGTAGCCTCCGAATCTTTGTTAGAGGAACTTTCAGTATCTTTAGGCATTAGGAAATCTTCAGCATCCCAAGGTTGGGCTTGAGCGGTGCCAAAAATTATATAAACTAAATTGCCGAAAAAGAAGATCACAGCAGCAATGATGAAAACTAGTTGCCATTGGGAGCGATTTTTCTAAAATAAAAAGAGGGAAAATAAATCATCATAAATAAAATCATTTAACAAAAACCTTACCGAATCGGTGACAATAACACCCACTACCAAAGGTGAGATCAAAGGCAAGAAATTCGCTATAGTATTAACTATACCCATTAATATGCCAGCATGATTTGGCGATAGATCTATGGTATTTAAGGAACTACCTAAAGTGGCACCACTATTAACACCCACCAATAGTGTCATTAAGACTATGGCCCAGGTTTTATTGTTTTCATCCAGGAAACCTATACCAATCAAACCAGCTGCTGGTACCCAAAAAGCCACCGTATTAATGGATTTACGTATTGCGGTGAGACTAAGTAACTTTTTGCTTTGCAATACATCCGCCACTATAACATATACATACGACATGCCCCACATGGCCAGGAAGGGTAAGGCCGAAAAGAGGGCATTACTTTTAATCTGCATACTCAAGACCCCATTCATATAGGAAGGAATTTGTGTTTGTAAAATACTTAGGCCATAACCTTCGGCACAACGCGCCAACAGTAAGGCCATGAAGGGCACCGACAACCATATAGATTTCCAGGGTACTGGTATCTTGTTTTTATGAAAATCTTCCGAATGTTCTAGGGATGATTCGATATAGTGAGTTTCCAGTTTAGAGATAAATTTCGATTCTGTGGCATTGTTGGCAGCAAAAATCCACCATAAGACACACCAACCAAAACACAAGCCAGCCGAGACATAGGAAATGCCCGGCCAACCTAAAGGACCTTCAGCTATCAGACCACTCATACCCAAAGCCAAAACTGTACCACATTCTATACCAGTATGAGCTAAAGCACCCAAACGACTGCGCTCCTGCGTGGGTGACCATTTAGCCAAATGCTCATGTATACAGGGGAACAGAGCACCCTGACATATACCCATGATAATACGTAAAACACAAAATGCTTGCCAACCGCCCCAGGTAACACACCAAGGTGTTAAGGCACTCATTACAGCCGAGGTTAATGTTGAGATTTGCATAACTATTTTGGCACCAAAACGTCTAGATAAAGCTCCACCAGGAAATTGAGTCGTCACATAGCCCCAATAAAAACTGGATATTATATAAGAAACTTCCTTCTCGTTCCAATCAAATTCCTGTTTTCCAACAATATAAAAAAATTTTAAGACATTAACATATGTAAAGTAAAATCAATTACCGGAAAATCGGGATTTGTAGTTTCGGCATTTGTCATGGCTACCACAGCGACACCAATATTCAGACGACTTATATAGACCACAGTAATATTTAGAAAAATGAGTAAAGCCTGCATGTGGCGCATACCCAAAAAGGGTCCTGAAACAAAGAACACACAAAGAAACATTAATATGATACAGCCTAAGGAAATGAAGGAATAAAAAATATATATTATAGTTATTCGACCTGATGTCCCAAAATTTCTAGAGCAATATTCTCTACATGAATTACAACCCACTTATAGATTTCTTTTTATTATCTTTTCATAATCAATTAACAATTAATAACAATATAAATTCTTTACGACCGTCCGACATAATAATCTTTTCACAATTATTATCAAATATAAACAATGTTTTAGCATTTTTGCTCCATTCTCAATACAGCCGATATGATTTATTTAATTTAATCTGGGAAATCTTATCATATAAACAAACCAAAACGTCAGTCGCTTGTATATGTTTATTGCAATTGGAATATTTTTTTTTAAGAACAACAACATTGATTTATTTACAATGGAATGGGACAAATCGAAGACCTTGATAACTGAAACCTTAAATGGTGTTTTGACGACCGACACATGAGTCGTTCATAATTTTGAATATGAAAATTTGCCATATCATTCTGGTTACTTTAAAGTTGCAACTCAGAGAGATAGATTATCATGGGACCATAAATATTTCAGACATACTGTTATCATGGAACCATAATTATTTCAGACATTCTGTTATCATTATTTATTAAAATCAATTGCTGTGTCAAAAATCAATAATTTGATCAGAATTAAACAAACCCAGTTATAGGGTCAAAGCTGCAATTCGACCAATTTCAGATGATTCCTATAATGTAAACGAGTTATTTGATTCACTTCCTGGAAGTTGAAAATCACAGGGCGATTTTATCCGTTCGAACTTAGAATAATGGGATAATATAGAAGTGACTATTTTTATTGAATTACTTTAAAATTTACAACCCGATTTCAAAGTTCTAAGATGGACCGACAAACGTTGCACATTTTATAAACTTTCCCTAGACGTGATTGAAGTAAACCCATCCTTTCCAAAACTATGAATGTCAATGTTGACCGCGCAAAAATTGTTGATTTTAGTTATACACCCTCCTGGGGGTGTGAAAGAAAATAAAGGTGCTACCAGTACCTCTAGTCTGCCGGTACTATAAACTGGTGATGATCAGTTTATAGTCCCGGCCTATTCTTGGAATGATTTGACGTAATATCGAACTAGAGAACCACATAATCAGGTACCATGGGAACCGGTAGCCTGCAGGGCATAGTTTCGGACTTTGTATTGTCCTCGTTATTGAAAAAGTCCATTCGCGAGAAGAGAATGTCGGTTAAAAGACTGAAGCACGATAAAGTCTATAATTCAGGATAAGTTCGGTTGCCGATACAACAGATAACACACAGAGGAGTGTCTGTACGACTAAATGATGGAACTGAGTTGGTGTTAAATGTATATGATAAGGGATACATGTAGGGGTAAATGGACCTTACCCTTCGGTCTACCACATACATCTATAGGTGCAGTTGCCAACTCAACAGAAGTCAACCCATATGCGTGGTTGTAAAGGGCAGTGATGTTTTTACATATCGGTAGTTTAGCAACGGGGCAGATAGCTCAAGTACTTGCTTGTATATGGACCGGCAGAACCATATACAAAATCCACCGGCTTTCAACCCTTTCACGCACAATACCAAACCGCTCGACTTTTTATGGATATGACTTCACCACACACTTTATTTTGACCTATATCGACTATTTATGATGAAAAATGGAAAAAGTGTTTTTGAAGTATATAGCAGGATATTATCCTTTTTAGCATGTAGTGATATCAAATTATAAAAAATAACATATTTTTGGAAATAACCATATACTGAACGCTATTACGATCTAAATCGAGAAAAATGAAAAAAAAAAAAATTTTGGGACACCGGGTCCCGTACACGTGAAAGAGTTGAGAAGCACAAAGGGGCGGTTGTAAGTCGTCTAGACAGCTTACTCAGTGGTAGAAAAAGTACAACCGTGAAATAAGGCCAACATGGCAGATGTTCATGTAAAACACTCCGACATCTTCCCAGATATACATACATATTTACACTTAATTCATATGTGAGATGCCACGCCCACTATTTATAGTAGATGTCAAAGTTGACCGTATAAAATATGAAGTCTCTAGCTGTTATAGTTTCCAAGATAAGTATTTGCACTTTAGTATAAAATAACACACACATGTGCTCAATATTAATCTGGCCTCAGAATTGCATCACATCTGCGATTCGAGAACTTTTTGAGACTTTATAACAGCTGAAAATTCATTCTGTCAGCTTTAAAATAAAGGCTGAATATCTGACATATCTTCTTTTTTCTTCGAGATATCTTTTCCTAAAACTTGATACAACAATAAATCACGCGGCTCAATTCTTTGGAAAAGTATAGATTTGTCTCAGAATTTCGAATTTTTCAAATTTTGTTGGCCTGTGTAATTCATATGTATGGACTCTTGCTGCTTAATATGGAAGATGTCACATACTCTGATTTTAGAACCCCCATTTTTTCCAAATAATGTCAAAGTTGTCTGTTCAAAATTTAGGATTCTCATCCATTTCTAGTACGTAAACTTTTATTATTTTCTATTAGTGCTACACGTAGTTCGTTCCATCAATGTAAATGTTCGTTCCATGAATGAAAATGTAATGAAAAAGTAAATCTAATTAATTTAAGACACATTTCTAAATTTTCTTTAAATATATTCATAATCGATTCTGGTGTATAATATCGAAGCTAAAAATTAACTAACAAAATAGAATTATATTTTTTTAATTAAAATTCAATCATCGATGAAAATTGAGCTTTAAATTACAAACTTGAATAGCAGTAATAGTATAATTATAATTTGCTAAAAAGTAATCTATGGTAAATCATTTTATTTACACACATTTGACAAACTAATTTCAAATTAGTTGTTTAATAATAATAAACAAACATTAAACTATTTATTATTAACAAATAAACATTTGTTTAATAATTTAGTAACATTTGAAATTAATACTAAAACCGCATTTCGTGCAAAACCACAAGTTTTTGCTCATAAAAAGTTGCTATAAATAAATTTTAAACCACAAACAATGTACATAAATGTACTTGAAAAAAAAAAAACTACAAATAATTTTTTTTTAATTTTTTAAATCAATTTCTCTGTTAAAACACTTCAGTTGTATATACCTTTATCAATGGCACTGGTCATTTTTGATCCTTTTATTGATTTTTATAAAAGGATCTATTTATTTTAAAATTTTAATTATAATATTATTTCTTCAATCCTTTAAAGCATTAATTTTTTTATTATTATTTGCACTTTAAACCACTAGGCACACGTCTGGAGCACACGACTAAAATAATCTATATAAAATCAAATTTGATTTTGAACTGATGTTGAAGCTTTTGCTCACAAATTGTTACTATTCATATTTGTTCAGCCGATGTTCCTGCTATTGTACTTGTTCGACTAAATGTTTATAATCTAAAAAAAGTAATAAAACACACAAAAAAAAATTAAATAGAAGAAACCGTTTGTTATGAATGCGATAAATAAATAACAGTTCTACTAATATAAGTTTATTTACAGACAGTTTTAATGGTTTTATGAGCCCAGTTAGTAGATGAGCATTTAATTCAAATTTTTGCTCTCTTTTGTTGGTTAAACCAACGACAACAAAACGTGTGTTGTTGTTTTATTACAAAACAATAAAATTATAATATATTTAATTATTTGTGCATTAATAGAAAATATGATAAGATTGAGGGTTTATTTCAAAAACGTTCAAGTGGTAACTGTTTTGTATCTAAATTTGATTTTAATGTTAGTGATTTATTAGAATTGAATATCAGTTGTCAATAATATTGATTTATTTAGTTATCAGATTACGTACCAATATAACAGTTTGTAATTGTTGGTACTAAGCGAAGTCATAAACCCCTTTTTGAGGTGGAAGTTGCCAAATGAAAAAAACTATGTGCTACAGTAGTGGATAAAATAATAAGTATAAATGGTAGAATTAGTTAGTTAAGTAGTTAGATAGATAGATAGATAGATAGATAGATAGATAGATAGATAGATAGATAGATAGATAGATAAATAGATAGATAGATAGATAGATAGATAGATAGATAGATAGATAGATAGGATAGATAGATAGATAGATAGATAGATAGATAGATAGATAGATAGATAGATAGATAGATAGATAGATAGATAGATAGATAGATAGATAGATAGATAGATAGATAGATAGATAGATAGATAGATAGATAGATAGATAGATAGATAGATAGATAGATAGATAGAGATAGATAGATAGATAGATAGATAGATAGATAGATAGATAGATAGATAGATAGATAGATAGATAGATAGATAGATAGATAGATAGATAGATAGATAGATAGATAGATAGATAGATAGATAGATAGATAGATAGATAGATAGATAGAGATAGATAGATAGAGATAGATAGATAGATAGATAGATAGAAGTAGATAGATAGATAGATAGATAGATAGATAGATAGATAGATAGATAGATAGTAGATAGATAGATAGATAGATAGATAGATAGATAGATAGATAGATAGATAGATAGATAGATAGATAGATAGATAGATAGATAGATAGATAGATAGATAGATAGATAGATGATAGATAGATAGATAGATAGATAGATAGATAGATAGATAGATAGATAGATAGATAGATAGATAGATAGATAGATAGATAGATAGATAGATAGATAGATAGATAGTAGATAGATAGATAGATAGATAGATAGATAGTTTTAGAAAATGTAATTATTTCTGTTCATTCTTCATTCTTAATCACAGAATACTGACCTGACATACATACCATGTGTATAATTCATACATATCTCTGCAAATCTTAATAAAGATAAAAATGTTTATTTATCATTCCTTAGTACATTTAAAGACGATATAAAAATGCTTAATTGTCAAAGCTACTTTTATTATATTTATCAAATTTTATCAAAGAAACATTATACTAAAATCTCGCTAGTGAAAGTTAATTAACCCTAAACTTAAAGAGTGCATTGGATCACTTACACTTAATTAACATTATCATTTACTCGTCTAGACGAGAAGATATACATAAGTCTTAGAGAGATAACAGTGCAGGGTAAGTTAATTCAATCACCCTTTTTTCGTTTTTTATTATTCTTATAACATACATAAATTAAAACTTAAAAATAAATACTCATACTAAAATATAATTTTTTTACTTAGAATCTAAAGGTTTATTCTTTTTGCAGTCTTCATTTTGTATATCCTTAGACAGAAGATAATTTTCATCATCCCAAGGCTGTAATTTTGTCGAACCAAAGATAATATAGAAAAGATTGGAGAAGAAAAATACGGCAGCTGAAATGGCAAACACTATTTGCCACTCGGTACGATCAGTCTGAAAAATTGAGAATAATAAATAATAATTCTACATAAAGAAAAAAGCAAAAAAAATTACCTCATCTTTAACAATGAGACCCACTAATAGAGGCGTTAAAATGGGCACTATATTGGCGGCAGTATTAACAATACCCATTAATATGCCAGCATGATTAGGTGACAAATCAATAGTGTTCAAAGCACTACCTATAGTAGCACCAGAATTAACACCCACATTGGCCGTCATCAAAACAATTGCCAAGGTTTTCTGATCTTGATCTAAGAAACCCACCAGTATAAGACCAACAGCTGGTATCCAAGCTGATAGGGAGTTGAAAGTTTTTCTCACCTCACTAAGTGTAAAAATTCGGCGGCTCAAAAATATATCGGCCAGAATGAGATAAACATATGACATACACCACATGGCAAAATAAGGTAAGGCAGAATATAAGGCATTACTTTTCATATCCATGCCTAAAACGGCATTCATATACGAAGGAATTTCAGCTTGTAAAGTTGAAAAGCCCCAAGAATTGGCAGATCTGGCCACTAATAAAGCCCAAAAAGGCCAAGAGCTTAAAATGGCTCTCCAGGGAACGGGTATAGATTTGGGTGTTTCACTCACATCATGTTCTTTTAAGGCATTTTTAGAATTTTCAATATAACTCCGTTCAGCTTCTGTTATCAATTTTGATTCATTGGGGGAATTAGAGGCGAACATAAGCCATAGAATACACCAAAATAGACCCACACCACAAGACATATAAGAAATACCGGGCCAACCAATAGATGAAGCTGCTATAATACCACTCAAAAACATGGATAACAAGGTGCCACATTCTATACCGGTATTGGCTAAAGCTCCCAAACGATTACGTTCACTAACCGGACACCAAGAAGCCAAATGGGTGTGTACACAGGGAAAGAGTAAACCTTGAAACAGACCCTGTACCACACGAATAACACAATACACCTGCCAACCACCCCAGTCTACGGTGAGGGGTATGAGTACAGCAACCGCTGCCGAACCAATAGTTGAAATGAACATTATTAGTTTAGCGCCAAAACGTTTGCAAAGGAAACCTCCAGGAAATTGTGTCACAAAATAGCCCCAAAAGAAACTGGAGAGTATATAGGATTTTTCCATTTCACTCCAATCATATTCCTGATTAGATAAAAATAAAATTATCGAGATACCAGGCTATATAAAAAATTAATATAATGTTATGCTGACACTTACCGGAAAGTTTGGATTTGTTGTCTCCGCATTTGTCATAGCTACCACTGAAACACCCGCATTATATTTTACAATATAATTTACCGTTATGCAGAGAAACATTAACAATACTTGAACATGTCGTTGACCAAAAAATGGTCCTAAATTAGAAACAAAATATATATTTTATTTATAATTTTCCTATATTTCTTCACATGATTTATAATTCCTTTTATTCTTACCTTTGTTAATTTCTGCCGTCATATTGTTTTATTATTTCACCAAACTCTTTTCTAATCGATTTAATTTTGAACAACGCACCACCACTGCCTGAGTGGACGTTTCAAATTGAACTCATTCAAAAAATAATGAATTACTGTTAGAGGAAAACTTTGTGCACTTAAGATCATTGTGATTTATTTTGATCTAACACTATTGCACAAAAGTTAAATCTAAATCATTTTAATTCAATATTATCAACGATAATACCCTGTGACGAAAAAAAAAACACTCAAAAAACCTAAAATTTTTCAAAATTATCGGGAGTGATAATAAAAATTAGATTTATCTGGTAACAAAAAAACAACTTCCCAATTGGAAAATAGGTCACAAAGTGAGACAAGATCTTCAAATGGTTATCACTACTTAAAATTTACAGCGTTTGAAAAAAACACATCGAACGAAGGATGTGAAATGCATAACTACGATCACTAAGGATTTGTAAGCTAGTCACTAATCGGTAAACAGGAAAATCGTAGGATTTTTTTAATCTCAATACTGATAACTAATTTAAAAACAGTTGAAATAAAATTTAATATTTAAACACATGTAATATAGTCAGGCATTCATAAACAAAACTATAGCGCTCTTTGTAATCTTGGGCCCAGTATTTATCGACCCAACTCAACAGATTTCAATACATTTTCTTATTCTTAACAGCAACAGCAAAATTTTAATCCACTACAGTCATGATCTATGTTAAATTAACTAAAACACCAAAAACAATATACGATCACTTAGTTCAAATGAAGAGATTCATGGGCTAAATAATCTTCAAAGTTGACTATGATGATAGTACTTTATTATCAAAGTAATACAGTTATTTTTTCTACTTGATTTGATCAAAGTTTAATGCTACTAAAAATTTGCATTGCTATGTTATTGTTATTTTGCACTATGGGTCGGAAAGCGATGCTTAGATGAGATATATTTGTTAGCACCTAATGATATAAACAGCACAATTTTGAAGTATGAAAATAGCAATCAGAATCGTAGCATAGTCAATTTGTGATTACGTATCTTTCATATTTGCTTAGCAGGCATATGTTCAGTGAAAGCTTTTAGACCCTTATTTAGTACCACAAGAGAATCCTATGTACGGACTATTGACTAATCCATTGACTAGTCTATTGTCTAGCAACTTGTTAATATTTACTAGTCTATTGACAAGGCCAATGATTACTAGTCTATTGACAAACCTATTGATCAGTCTATTGACTAGTCCACTCATTGACTAGCTTATGATTCGCACTATTGACTAGACTACTGAAAAATCTTTTGACTAGCCTACTGAGTAACCTCTGGTTCAGATTATTGACTAGCCTATTGACTAGTCTACTGTCCAGTCCTTTGACTAGGATAAGTTCAGAAAATTGACTAGTATAGACGAATTGACTATAGTATAGACTAATAGACTATAGGCAACATTACTTACTAGTCTACTGACTAGTGACTGCTTAGTCTATTGAGTAGTCTACTTACAAGTCCATTGACAAGTCTACTAAACAGATTATTGACTAGACTATT